GAAAAGCTGTTTGTGTGGGAGTAGATGGTAGGGCCTACTTCCCATTTATACGGAAGTGAGCCCGGAGGTGGGGCCCACGTCATAGGTGGGCGTGGATTAAATCTGTCAGTGCTGCACACGTGCAGGAGGGATTACCCAATAGCGATAACCTTAGAGGGCTGCGCCTATACTCATAGAAGCTGGGTTACATTACGTAACCCCAGTTTTTAACTTAGGATCATACCTGTGTTTAGTCTAGAAAAAGATAAATGTGTGCATTTTATTATAAAGTTGTGTATATTTACAGACCGTTGCAAAAACTAATAAGCTTATAAACATCAGGTTTAAAACTAAAAGAGCTTTGAAACACAATGAAAGATGTTTGGAGTTTTATTTGAGTTATTAATTTAAACTTTTTGTCTAAGAGATGCTGATTTGAAACCGTTGTTACATACAGTTACGGCATTTCCTGTTTCTGCTGGAGAGAGGGGAGGCCGTCCCAAAGCTTGCTGCTGTATTTACTCCCTCCATCTGACAGGAGGGAGCCTCGTTGAGCTGCGAGTGTGGCTACAGACGGAGTTCACTCCGTCACGGAGGGGTAGGGTCGAGGGAGTGGTTTGGGATTGGGCCTTAGTCTCTTGAGTTACCATGTTCATTGGGGGAGGTTACTTCCTGGTTCAGCAAAGGGCGTGGCCGAGCACTGAGGACTCATAAATACTGCAAGGAGTCAATTGGGACAGATTGGGACAAACCACCTGCTTCCATGTCAAAGGGGGGATTTGGGTTTTGTCAGTGTCCTTTGTGTATGATGTGACTATTAATTATCCCTTGGGTTCAACTTGGTTTTTCATTGTAGCAGGTCAGTTTTGTTGAGTTAAAGGTGGGGTAGGTAAGTTTCAGAAACCGGCTCGAGATACACTTTTTGTTATATTCCATGGAATGCTCTTAACATCCCGATAGCAATGAATGGATGTTAAGAGCATTCCATGGAATATAACAAAAAGTGTATCTCGAGCCGGTTTCTGAAACTTACCTACCCCACCTTTAACTCAACNGCAGCTGCTGACTTGGTTACTACAAAAATAAAAGACACAGAAAACCCTACAAGGATCTACACGGTGACTCTAAGTAGACCGAGAAAAACAAGTATCTGCAGACTTTTTATTTATTTAGCCCGAAGCTGTTCATTTTTTTTCACCTCTATTCTGCCCGGCAACAGTCGAAAAATAGTCATATCGACTAAAGTAAAGCAAAACAACACAAATAACCTGGGTTTGGAACAGTAACATAATATTGTTAATATTGTTTAAAAAAAAGTCATCCTTTTCAAAGATGACTGTTTTTTGTCAGTTAATGACACGTACAGCACATGGTTAAAACACACCTGTTATCCATCCTGGTTCCAAAATCCAACATGTAAGCTGCTGAAATGTCGGTTCTCCCAGGTTCCAAAGATTCAAACAATCCGTCATCCACATTTTTGACAGCGTTGGATTCAAAGAGGTGAGCAGAGTGGCGCAGCGGAAGCGTGCTGGGCCCATAACCCAGAGGCCGATGGATCGAAACCATCCTCTGCTAATTGTAAAAGCTTTGGGTCAGTAGGGTCCTTGTCCTTTCCATCCTTATTCAGAAGGAAACACGTTCACAAGACTAAGCATCCATTATCGAAAAGGTTAAATTGCTTAACTCTTTAGTGCCAAAGTGGACACTATATTGTGTTTTGCAAGAAGCTTTTGCGAACATTGTTGCAATACCCAGGCTTGACAACTTGACCAAATCCAGTGTCGCAAGCGCTGTGTTGGTTGAATGCTAATTGCTAAATGCAGCTGCTGACTTGGTTACTACAAAAATAAAAGACACAGAGAAACCTACAAGGATCTACACGGTGACTCTAAGTAGACCGAGAAAAACAAGTATCTGCAGACTTTTTATTTATTTAGCCCGAACCTGTTCATTTTTGAGTAGTCAGGAGCATCACATCCTAATGTTTATTGATAGAGGGAGGGGATGGGAAAGAAGGTTTCAAAATTGTGATTGGAATAATTTCTACAATTGCTTTAATTCATGGTGGTTTCAGTAATCCCATGGTAATTGAGGACATAAGTAATCTACATGACTAATGCCATCTTTATGACTTTCAGAAAGGACAGGAGGCCGACAGGTGCCTATCAATGATTGTCAACTGAGAGCACAATGAGTCAAAGGACTAGCAGCAGCAGCAGCATGATGATGTTAAATGTGTTGTTTTAGGAACATCCATTGTAAATAAATGGAATTCAATAAACATTGAATAGCATGTCATGCAGTTTATCTGTGCCTTTTCCTCTGTGTTGTCCTGGCATATATATTTTCCCCCATGGTTTGCTGTGCTGCCTGGGGATGCTCCAATCGCTCACTCAGAGAAAGGAGTAGAAATTTTTGTTTGAAATGAATCAAAGTATCAGACTAAGAAAGCTTTTGAAAATAATATTATATTTTGATTTAGGTCAAAATATAATATTTGTAAACCTGAAGAGTCAGTGCCAGTGCCGACCATGAACCTCACAGCACGTCACTGCAGAAGCTTATATATAAACGTCTACGTTTTTTATGCCCCACCACTTTTGTACATATACCGTGGTCGTAAAGAACAGTTATGTGAATAACTGTTGCTTTCTATCACCCTGAACCAGTCTGGCAATTCTTCTCTGACATCTGGCATCAACAAGACATTTTGGATACTTTCCCTTTTCCGTGCGTGAAAATCCAGTAGATCAGCAGTTTCTGAAATACTCAGACCAGCCGGTCTGGCACCAACACCATTCCACGTTCAAAGTACCTTAAATCACCTTTGTTCCATCTTGATGCTCTGTTGAACTTCACCAGGTCATCTTGACCATGCCTAAATGCATTGATTGCTGCCATGATAAGGCTGATGGCTGATAAGATATTTGTGATATTACGAGTAGTTGAATAGGAGTACCTGATAAAGTGGCCAGAGTGTACACTTAACACTGAGGTGGATGGATCTTCAGAAGCTGTATTACACCTTCATCTCCATCGTCAAAACACCATGTTGAAGTATTTTATTTTGAAGTTTTCAAAAAGGCTCTTTTAGTTTTGCACAATGTGTGGAATGTTGTTTTAAAGTTTTGGTTAGTTATTGCAATTATCTTTTGTCATCTATACAACTTGTTTGTTTTTTTTAAAGGTACGCAGTTTTTAACCCAATGTACAGTAAACCGCTGTGATAGTTTCAGTGCCTGTGTTGAAACATGGATCAAATTTTGGGCAAGTATTATTCATGATAAATGTGATTGTGTATCTTTTTTTCTAACCCTGAATTTACAGTGCAGCCAATTACATTAATGCAGTACTTGAACTAGCAACACACTGACTGTACCATCACTTGTTGGTTAAGTCGGCAAAGGTTAAGCATTATGTTATACTTGCATTCAAAATAAACCATCATACTATTCATTGGCACTGCTAAGGTTATAGTAGTTAACATAAACATGGAAATAACTTGCTGTACATTAGAACATAAAACCTCCTGACTGCTAAGAAGTTTGAGATTTAGAAGATCCTTGTATATGAACTGCTCACGCTGTATTACCTTGAATTTGTGAATAAACATCCACTTGGCACAAAACGAATCAGCAGATATAAGATTTACTTTAGTTAAAAATGGGATCAAATGACCTCTAATTGTAAAGAATGTTGTCTGTTTTTTGATTATTCATATACTGTGAAATGAAATGAAAAAAAGTGTTCAGGCTTACACGGGTGAGTTTTTGATATACAAATTATTACTTTTGGGTACAGTGCTCCTTTTATACCAAACCACAAAAATAATTATATTTCAAGTCAATAAAAACGTGTTACATATTAATTATAGAAGACGCATCAAAGCAAGTCATTTATTATCACTTTAATTTGATGGGGGAACCACAAGTACTTTAAAAGAAGGTTATACATCGCTGTACATTTGGGAACTGTACTGACAGACTTGATAGTCATGTCTTCTCCCTTTAAATACTATTCATTTAAATGTTCTATATTCTTATAATGATACAATGATACAATAAAAGCTTGTTTAACTGGTCCTGCAGCTTTTCCGATATGTCGATATCATTTTTGTTGGGACTGTTATTTCCTTGTCATTTTGTTTTTCTTCCAAAAAAGGAAAATAAAAGTTATGATCAAAAACCATACGACAGGCAGAAGCTGCCAGGCTGTACTCCTGTAGGACTCCCAATCCACTCACACAATAGAGAGAAAGAGAGACAGAGAAAGGGAGAAGGGAAAAAAAGGAGATACAATTTTCATGTTCTGAAGGCTGGAAATGGGCATCAGTTCACTGTGAGGAGCAGAGAAGCACAAGATATATTTTGCACTTTCTGAAACCTCGACTCTTACTCTGCCCGACTGACGGCTCGCTCAAAGGCTCACTTCCATAGCTGTGTGCTCAGGGTCTGGCCAGATCCGTTGGCGGCCCACCCACTCATAGCTGAGGGAGGCTGAGCGAAAGCCATCTGCCCCCCCGCACCGTTCAGGGCCAACCCGGACATCTGCTGATTCACCTGAGGATGTGAGACAGATCTGTATTAACACTAGAGGAAAGTGCTGGAAACCTGTAATATTCAACTCTAACCTGTCCTGAGTCTACTTAGTAGTGTTCAGGAGTATAATAATAAAGAGTTAAAAGGATGTTTCTCAAATTGTTCAATCAAAGTTGAGCTCCACTGAATTTAGATTGTGAGATACGGCATGTGGGAGCGGAATGATCAGAAAAACAAGTTCCTGACTGGAAACATGAACATGAATAACTGGAAAACTGGTCTGATATTTTGTAAACATTTCATTGCTTACAAGTTTGGTTTCTTTTTCTCTTTGTTTGTCATGCAAATACAAGAAATGCAAAACATCTTCTCTGTTGCATCCATGTTGTTCTACATGAACACACCAAGGTCAAACATTACTTTCAATCTCTTTCTATGAGGTTTCTCAGGCTATTTCCCCTAAAATGTAATCTTCATTGCACATTTCCCCTCTGTGGGACGAATAAAGGTATTCTGATTTACATTTTTTTATAGCAGTGTGCAGCCATTTCGTTTATTTTGTGAATTACATTGTGGGTGCTAAGTGTCTTCTAGCTGCAGACTTTAAATTGAGTTTTTCCTCGTATGAATACGCCTTTTTGACAGTACTTATTTAGCTTTAAAGCCCTGCTTGTGCTGCCCCCTTGTGGCTGCTGTATGCTCTGTCCACATCCTATATAGTAAAGCGCTTCACAATGCATTATCATAGCTGGATGTGGTCACATGTGAAACTAATCACTCCTGACAGACACGCATGAAGTTCAGGGTGTAGGATTGAGGGGAACTATTAGCATGATTAGAATATAATAGTATTCATAGCTATGTTATTATTGTAAAGTCAACTGCAACAAAAACTAACAAAAACATTCATTTTCTTTACCTTAGAGTAAACCCTATACATGTGCATACGAAGCAGGTCCTCTACACGGCATTAACCATTTTTATAAAGTAGCCTAAAAATGAAGAAACCAAACTCTACCTCTAGCAGGGCTGTAATGTTTTGTGTTAGCCGAATGCTGTCGTAGTTCTAATACATGCTTGGAAGTAGATTGCAATTTGCAACCCCACATACTTCCCTCTCAAAGAACCCTTTACGAAGAATCAGTAAACAACAAAGCTCGAGGACTTCTCCTACCTGACCCATGTTCCACTGCCCCTGCTGCCCGGGCTGGATGGCGTACATGCCCTGAGCCGGCACCATGCCTGCAGGCATCGCCCCGCCCTGTGGTCCCATCATCCTCGGCGCCATGCCCATCACCCCGCCAGCCTGCGCATTCCCCATGAAGCCATTAGGCATTGTCATCCCGACCATCATGCCTGGACTGGGTCCCATCATGGCGCCCATGACGGTTGTAGGCGGCATGGCCGTGCCCATGCCAGGGAAGGCCTGATAACCTCCAGCAGCCTGCACAGGAAACTGCATCTGGGAGGGGCCCATGAACATGCCGGCTGAGGGAAGATATGCAAAACAGAGAGAGGAGTATTATGCAAACAAACATGTGTTTCAAGTGTGTTTGTTAAAGGAGCCTCTTAACCAGGAGAGGAAGTAGGGAAGATCAGTGGGAAGGAAGTATCTACTTGCTCCTTGTGGAACAAAACACAGATCCCAGCCATTTCTAGGTAAGGAACATTTCTGGCCCAGAGGTTTACCATGTCTGACCCTCTGGAACACCCATCCGACAAAACTGGGACCCTACGTTTTGGAACAACAGTTTCTATTACTTAGAGGCTTTAAAATATGTAAACGGAAAGTATAATGTTGTCATGAAGGCAGTGAGTTTGGGCCACAAGTTATTTCTATTTCCTATATTTGTTTATAGGAAAAGAAGGAGCATCTTATCTAGGATTTCTAGGCAAAACTGCTGCCATTTTTCGGCAAGGTTCTTGTTTGGATGCGTTCAAAACAATATTTTAAGAGGAAAACCGTGAACTCTTATGTTCTAATAGTCTTGTGCAAAAGGCATTTACGGTTTTAAAAAGGTATTGAGAAATGTAGAGTAATTATAACATTACAATAACAAAATGATTACGTCTGGAAATTGTAAAGAAATTAGTCAGCTGTTATGCGACATCATTTCAAAAAGGTGTGCGTCCTCACCAGCGGGCGCCTGTTGGGACATGCTGTTGGTTCCATACAGGGACAGGATGGAGTCCTTGGACAGCGGCTTCTTGGCCCCGTCTTCAGTCTTAGTGGAGCTGCTGCTGTCGCTGAACAGGTCCAGGTCCCCCTGCCCTGACCCCGAGCTGGCTCCCCCCCCCGCCGCCGCTGGGGTTTGTGTGGGAGGGCTGGCCGCGTTACTGGAGCTCACCTGACGGGTGGAAAAAATTGTATGGATCAACAGTGATGTACTCGGCATCTGCAGTTTCAAGAAAATAGTCCAAGCTTCCCTCCCAGGGCTGTTCTGACTCTTTCAAATCGTTCACAGATTATCATCAACATATTAAATGGAATTACATTTCATTAAAGTTTACGATATCTTTAATGTATGCCATACATCAATCAGCTGTTTGTTTAATTTGATAGAATGCTGTCCATGTTTTTTTATATTAATTACTATAGTGATAATGGCCTGCCCTGCATAAAAATGCTCCAGATTTCAGATGTAGCCTGTAGGTAAGCTGTTAGGAGCTGGTACAGCCATAATCAAAACACAGAGATCTAATAAATCATGTTTTCAATGCTAACTATGTTGTGACAGAGCAATAACAAAGGGATATCATGAATACATGTTTAATAACAGTACAGCTATAGACTACGATCTCAAAATGACATCACTCTGTCCGTCCCCTCAGTACGCACGGTGCTTGGGGAAAAAGCCATATCATACTCTGCCCCCTCGACCTGGAACACACTTCAGCAGGAACTTAAGCTGACCAGTTTGATACCCATCACGGATTTTAAACTCATTTTAAAAAAGCTGGAGTAATCATCTGTGGGTGTTTGCACCTGCTATATCTGACTTCTGTATATGGATTTCAATGACTACTTTTTTTACGATGTTGTATTTGAGTATTGCCTCTGTGTTTGGTGTCCTGTCTGTCTGTAACTTTGTGTGGTAGTGTTACCACTGACAGGTCTCTCCTTGTGTCTCAATTAGATTTTACACCTGTATAAATAAAGGCTAAATAAAAAATAATAATAATTGAGTTGCAATGACCAACTTATCATCTAAGATCATCTAGTTGATCAACAGAAATATAATTAAAACTAATATTTTTTAATGGTTGCAGTCACACTTTATGCAAAAATGGAAAAATATGTTGTTTCTTATCCTCTGAAATGTGAAGATTAGCTGCATTTCTTTTTTTTCCCATCGATAAATATCTGATTTATGGACTGACATTAAAAACCTCACCTCTGAGTTTCAGCCACCCAGATTATGTTTTAATAAATCATTAATGAAAATAGTATGAACAAATTAATCAATATGAATAGATTAATTGATTGCAGCCTTACTTAAATGTTTAGCCAAATGATTGCTACATAATTTGTATGTCTCTACTGTCTCTCTGAATCAGTGTTGCCGTCTTGTGGGCTGTTTATGCTGTTAATTATCATTTGACTTTTTATTTTCCACTGCACACTTCTTTTAAGTTTTACAACTGCACGACTATTACAAGCCCTCATAAGCAATATTCAGAAATTAGTAATTAGTAATCTGGACGGAAGAACTCTTCATGGACTTTACCTGAGGAAACTGAGCTACGGATGAGGAGGCGGGGAGAGGGTTTGAGACCATTGGGCCGAATATATCCAGGTCATTGTTGTTCTGGCTTGTGCTTATGCTACCATTGTTAGCTGCTGCAGCTGTTGGTATGTCTGCGACAGAAAGGTGAAAAGAAAACAGGTTTTACCGGTGGAAACAAACACACAGCAGGTTGAGAAAAACAACAGTCTGTTGTCACTCAACGCAGCGTTACTCACCTCCCAATGATATTCCACCTGTATTCACTGAGAACTTATGAAAGATAATCTGTTGTTGTGTAATAGCTGTACAAAAGGTGTGTAAAACAAACAGAGCTTATGCTTGCTAAAGTGAGATTATGTTTTGTATTTAACTGCACCGCCCTCCCACTGCTGCAGAGCACAGTAAGCATGACGGTTAGTACAATAAAATGAATCAGCTTATTGGCCAAAAAACTAAAATAACAGTAAACATCCAAATAATGCTATCACCCTCAAAGCTTATTAGTAGCATTCATTCCTCATCCTACTTAAAACTATGAATGGAATTGCTATATTGAATGAATTATGCACAATACCCTGAAGTATCAAGATAAAGTCATTTATATCCGCGTTATTGAATTGAAAGGATAAATAGACAAGTACACAACCATAACACACATACAATAACCTGTAGTAACAACCCACTGTTTCACCACGAGTAGCAACACACTCTGAAATATCCTAATAACTGCCACTTGAACACTGAAAGCAATATTTTCCATATATTTAGCATACATCTGCGGTGAGCGGCTGTGATCAGGTTATGCCTCTTTCATGATGAGTCAAACTGTTCCTCTTCATCTACCCTTAGTTTGCAGCACAATCATTTACGGTTAATCCATGATGTCATAAACTGTGGTTGCTCTACAATACACCTTTTTAAATAATTGCTGGAGAACAGCCTGGAATAAGGCACCTTTCCTAAAAGAAATCTATTTGACAGCATTGAAAAGTCAGCAAGTTAGCCTTGCAGACCACTTCCATGCACCAACACCTATATAACACACTACAGGAAAGGGGAAACCAAAGCAACCAATGTTATGAACCATTGATTCCTTTGTTCCTCAAAAGTGAAAAGCTCCAAAACTAGATTTTAAGAAACCAAGAAGTCAGTCGTCTGTGACTGAGTCAGCAGTTTTAGCACTTCCTCTGACTTCCTGGCTAAAGAGTCTTGCAGTATTTCACTGGTGCAAAGTTTTAATGTACAGCAAAAAGGAGAAGTGCATTAAAATCAACTTTAAAAAATAAGTACAGTTCTGAATCTGAGATCAGAGCAGCTCAGAGATGGTTAGTCTACTACTGCCTTTCACAGTACACAGCTGCTCAAATCTGAAGCAGCGGTGACATTTTCTCTCAATCTGCCTTCTCTATTATTACACATCCAGCCTACAGAGACAACAGACACAGTCATGGTCGAATTCTCTGCCTTAAACAACCACAATATATTGGTTGAGTGCCGTTATGCCCTGCTGCGAGGTTGAATGGAAAGTTATATGTCCACAGCAATAACCTGCCGCAGCGTCAGCCTGGTACACCAAGAAAAACAGGCAACTCAACATATATACAGTCAAATTAAGTACATGGTAAATATCCTTCATCTAAAATTACACAGCACCTTGAGCCTGTATAACATCTAAATCTCGGCTCAATGAGTTTACAGTGATTCATTTATTTATTAGATCTGCCAAACTGGCAATAAAAGGAAAACAATTACAAGCCGAAGCCACGTTTAGCCTTATTCCATAATATCTCACTCAGTCGGCACCTTTCAGACGTTTTTTATTTTCCATTAACACAAGTGAGATACTCACCAAGGCCTAGTAGGTTCACAGATGGTTCTGAAGTCTTAGCGGGGCTGATTTTGGGGACTGGCCTGGGCGCTTCACTCTTTAGAAGGAATGAGTTGTAATAAGTAAGGCAAACTCAATTTGGGACAATGCTGAAAATCGTGTTTCCACACATGTACTCAGAAAATAATGTGTGATAAACGTACCTTAGCGTAAGATGACACCTTGCTTCCTCGGTCCGGCTCCTTCTCTTTCTTAGCATCTTTTGGCTGGAAAACAAAATAAACTCAAAATGAACAACAGAAAATACAAATAGTCTGTTAAAGTGTTTTCACTATTTTTAAAAAGGCAGGCGTATAAAGCTTAAAAAGTAACCCATAATACATACACTGCTTCCATTGGTCACATTCTTGCTGTAGTATTTCTTCTTCTCATATTTATCCCTGATGAAGAATTCCACTGCTCTAAGGTCAGAGTTAAGGGGAAAATAGGCAACAAGCAAGACAAATATGAATAGCTTTGGTATAAGCAGTATGGCATGTTTAAGTTAAGGGTCTCTGCTCATAGTGAAGGATACTGGTCTGTTTGAGGTCTTCTGAAGCTTTCTGGAAGGTTGGCCTCATAAAGCCGCCTGCCATTGGTGTTGCCCATATCCTGTATACTCTGGAAAAAGGAACGACAGGGTGGTAAATAGAAAGCAAATTCCGTTCATATATGCATGCTGGATATTTCAACATCGATTTTACACACGATGATTAGTTTGCTCATCACAGAGAGTACGATTCAGCCTGTGAAAACATCATTCTCACATAAGAGACACTGATAATGTCACGAGGGTTATCATGGCTTGGACTTAATTGCTTCAAAATGATTAATAGATAGCCTGCGTTTTAAAGGTCCCCTATTATTCTGTTTTTCATCAATATATTATAGGTCTCAGATATATACGAAACATGTCTCTGAAGTGTTTGGCTCCAAACAGATCGTGCATTGTAGCGTCCCATAAACCCCTCTGTTTCAGCCCCGTTTCAAAAGTGCTGATTCTGGGTCTATTATTTTAGATGAAAATAAGGAGCCACTCCCCACGCCCCTCTGAGAGATATTTGGTATAAAAGAACACAATGGTGCTCTAGGAGGAGATTCAGGTGATAAATTGGGCGGGACAAAAAGAGAGCCTGAAACTTTCAGAATCTCTCAACGCAGAGGGGACACATGTTTATGTATAAAAGACATGAAAAAGTGGATTTTGCATAATAGGTAACCTTTAAACTTGGGCTGTGGAGTTGGAAAAAGCCACAATAAGGCGCATCAGGCTTTGACGCAAATGCCCAGAAAGGGTCTGGGAGGTTTAAAGGTGGGGTAGGTAAGTTTCAGAAACCGGCTCGAGTGCACTAAAATTTGAAAGTACACAGCCAAAAAGAATCCGCCCCTTCCTTCAGACTTCCTTACAGAGCACCTCCTCCGCGAAAGCAGGCTGCAGTAACGTTACATATCAGGCAAAGCTAAACACATCTAGGTTAGCAATACTACACAGCCAAAGCAACTCCGATATTGACTCTGGTTGGACTTCTCCTAATTTCCACTTTCTTTTTGTTCTTAATTTGCTCCGTTACATTTTTTCTTTTGTGACCAGTAGACAATGTTGAACCTAACTCTGCCATGGTGAAAGTGGCCGCCTGTTGCTGGCGAGTCATTGAAGTACTGCTGCAATGCACGTCCAATGACGGCACGCCCAATGAGGGCACGAGATACATTTGTGCGTGCACGAGATGGAAGGCTGACAGACAGGGCGACACCGGCTAAACGGATTGGTTGTAGTTTTTACAGTATTACGGCTTCCACAGATGACATTTTTTTATGGATTTTTTGTCAAAGCACTTAAAGAGCCTGTGACACGAACCCAACAACTGTTGTGCAATGAAATAGTGGGCTACTAGTAATCTCGAACCGTCAGTTTAAAAAAGAAAAAGCGATACCGTTCCGATAAATATCAATAATTTCGAACATCGCGGGAAAATTCCTTCGACTCATTTTGAGGTTTTGGGGGAAGCCGGAAGTGACGTCAATGCGGGAACGCTTCACTGTGCGGCGAGAGAGCCAAACACGGACAAAGTGTGTTGTCATGCGTAGAAATGGTGAATTACTGAGTTTAGGCACGTTAATAACGTTTTAATGAAGTTGACTACAGTATATTCATATTTGTCAGTGCTTTCATGTCAATTCGGCGAACATAAACATAAATGATCGTGGTGAAGATGATGATTAAATTAGGATTAAAAATCGGTAGTGAGAGCTGCTGAATTTCCTCCCGTCGGATGTGATATAAAAACAAATCGATTATTTTTGTA